CAGAACCTGGCAAGGAGTCTCATGGTGTCACGAACCAATGAAGTGAACTGATTGTCTCCTGCAAACTCCACTCCCCTTTCGCTCCTCTTTTATTCCCTCTGGGAGGGGCCATTCACTGCTCACCTGTGGCCTTACTCCCAAGTCGACCCCTGTTCTTTAGCTGTTCCCTTCGTCTGGCCACTCTGTGCTTGCGCACACTGGGAACAGGCTCCAGCTGCTCTTCTGCCTCACTGATGTCTGAAGGCAGCTGATAACTGTCGGACGGCCCTGTCCCCCTCTCTGCCTCCGACACAGAGCCCTCCCCAGAGCCTTCCCCAGACTCCAGGACTGGCCCAGGTTCCTCCCCAACCCTCCTCGCTGTCCCGACTAGAGAGCCCCCAGATATCCTCCAAGTAGGGGGGGGGGTTAAACTGTTTGTGTATTGCATAGACTACAGCTGTCTGGCATCTGAAATACTTAGCCAGGAGGGGTCCTTGGTGGTCCCCTCCTTGGTGGTGAGCTTTCTTGCTTTCTTGCAGATGTTTCATTACCCAACTAGGTAACATGATCAGTGCTAGAAGGGAGAGGAGGAGGAAGGGGAGGAGGAGGAGAACTGTGGGGTCCTTCATGCTCTCTGAGCTTGGTGGGTTTTCTTGCAGACGTTTCATGACTGAAGTAGGGAACATCATCAGTGCCAGAAGGGGAGTGGGGTTTGCAGAGAGGAGGAGGAGGAGGAAGGGGAGGGGGAGACTCCGCTGCCGGCTCTGCTAGCGGGCCACAACACCGAGGATCACATGTTCCCCATTTGAGACCTTCTGACAAGCAGACTCAATAGGGGGAAGCCAGGTTCACTTAACAACCATATTAATAACTTAACAACTGCACTGATTCACTTAACAAAGTGCGGCAAGCACGGTCGCAAAATGGGACAAAACTCAACCCGTGTTTCACTTAGCAACAGAAATTTGTTGGGCTCCGTTGTGGTCGTAAGCCGAGGACTACCTGTATTTCTCCCCCCCCCCTTATTTTTTTCCCCTGGTTCTAAAGCTCCCAAGAATCTTTATTAGTGGAGAAATCGGGGTTCGGGGTTCAGAGCCTCGGTGGCGCAGTGGCTAGAGTGCAGGACTGCCGGTGACTTCTGCCGACTGCCGGCTGCTTGCAATTTGGGCAGTTCGAACCTCACCAGGTTCAAGGTTGACTCAGCCTTCCGTCCTTCTGAGGTGGGTCAAATGAGGACCCAGATTGTCGGGGGCAAGTGGCTGACTCTGTAAACCGCTTCGAGACCGGTGTAAAAGCACTGCGAAGTAGTCTGTAAGTCTTAAGTGCTAAGTTGGGAAGGAAGGAAGGAAGGAAGGAAGCGGTATATAAGTCTAAGGGCT